CACCACAAGTCGGACCCCTACTCAACCGGTAAGTGGCCCCAGTGCCCCAGGGATTCAGGAGAAGCCAGACAGTTCAGCCCTTGGTTCAGGCTGAGATAGGCTCTGGGCTTAGCCCCAAAGCCTCTGGGCAGGTTGAAAGGGGCAGAGGTGCTTTGTGCAGTGCCTGTCAGGTGTCTCTTTTGTCTGCAGCCTGAGACGGCACAACAAGGTCCCCTTGGGCCCTTCTCTCAGAACTCAGCAAGAACATTGTGGTGCACCGGGTCCCTGTGGGTGGGGAAGCCTAGAGCCCAGGAGAAGCTCCTAGTTGGCCCCTGGGGGTTGGAACAGGCTTCTTGGAGGAGGTGGTTACAAATGGAGAATGAGGTCCAGGCAAAGCTAGGGCGGGTTTTGGCAGCAGCAGCTGTTGAGAGACCTGCAAGAGCAGGGGCTCTGCTCTCGGCATTGTGCAGCCCGCCTGGTGGAGCCAGGACCACGTCAGGGAGAATGGGCTGCAGCTCAGAGGTAGCTCGGGGGCCCACCGGAGAATATTCTGCCACTCCTGCTCCCTGCCTCCAGCCTAATGCAGCTGCCCTTTCTCCAAGAACAGTGTTGGTCAAACCAAGCCCTCTCTCCCTTCCTCTGGGCACCGTTCCTAAGTATCTGTGACCAGAACTTCCTGGCCGGCCCCAGTGGGGTGGGGGAATGTTCCAGTTGTTGCCCCGTAATGTGATGATGTACAAGTCAGGTTAAAACTCCTGGACCTGGCGGTAGACCATGCAGCGGCTTGGCATTGCCGTGGCTGACACCCCCAACCTGAACAAGAAGACTTGACTTTAGGCCATGAGTGCTCTTAAGCCCAGCAAAAGCCCAGCAAAAGCTGCCAGGTGCTAAGTGGACTGGTACACATCCTGAGCTGGAAACAGCTGGCTGGCTGCCTTGGGAAAGACTGGTGCTGGTCCCAGCAGCCATGCAGCTATGCCTGTGCCCACCCTTGAACAAGGCCAGGCTTCCCTGTGGTAGGCAGCAATGGGCAGGTGATGAAATGCCTTTGGAAGAGGTGGGATGAGGGGTGGGGTGGGATGGGGCGGGGCAGGTCCCCCTTGGTCCCCTGTGCTGGGAGTCCCCACTCCCACCTCTTCCTGAGCTCCTGTGGCCTGGGATGGGTTCACAGGAAGC